ACCATCCTCTCGAGGACAAGTGGTACATAAAATAAGAAGTTGATTTACGTAGCACTGTCAACAACTACCATCCTCTCGAGCTCAAGCGGTACATATAACGCTTGCGCTTCAAAAGGGGCTAACCTCATGTTGCTATTGTCATGTTTACGCAACTATATGCTACTGGCTCTAAATTTCATATGCGAATATGAATGTACGTACAACGTTTGTACTCCCATCTGCAAAATAAGTTGGGGCACGCGAGGGACGACCACAATCTGGATGAACTACATCACCACGCCATTTGACTTGGTGTGTGCGCATGTGCATCCTTTCATTTTCACATTCATATCTTTTTACATCGTTGCAGTGGACCAAGTGATTACATCTAGCGTTGTGCGCTAGACGTTGCTTTCTATCTTCGATCCGTGACGTGGTCAATTCGGTGGGGGAAGAGGGGCATGGTGGGGGTGAAGAGTATGCGGCTCGCTATCCCTTGATTAAAAAAGTAGCATCTCCTGTCTCAGTGGCGAACCAGTGCAACACACATTATTACGTATCTTCTTTACACGTGCCTTGAGGAAAACAGCACTTGTGCACGTAACACCGATCGCCTTCTTGCCACGCTCAACGCATTGGTTTGATCTCCGCGAAGACTGATATTCATCACTTTATTTATTTATATCAATCTTGAGTTCTCTCTCGCGAGAAACGTTGTTTTTTTGCGTTCTACTAACAACGCTTACGTACATGCCGACACCAGAATTTCTGCAAAAAAAGCTTTCAACACAGCGCGTTAATCGCTGCTCTGCGTGGTCTGTGAAGCGAGCCGCGCACAGTTCACCGCCGCCGCAACCTTGTCTAATTCAGCGCACCACGTATTGTATCGAGCGCGTGACGAGCGCGTCTCCTAGCTCGCTGCCAGCGAGTAAAAAGATAATTATATACAGAATGAAAGAACGCACGTGCGCACTCACGACTAAAGATAACGTGGAAATCGCAGATTTATTCAGTTGCGGTCATCGGTCAAATGCTGCGAACTATTTTTTCAGGTGGGAGTACATCTCTCTGCAGTGATTTCGTCAGGTATCAAATAACAGTAAAAAAATGGCAGCATATCCACGGAGTGAATGATGGAGAGTGGGGCGAAGCATCCGTTCGTCCATTCGTTCTTGCTTCCGTTCGTCCTTGCGTCCGTCTGTGTGAGCGTCCGTGCGTCCATTCAGCCTACCGTGCGTGCGTCTGTTCATGCGCACGAACGTCCATCTGTGCGTCCGTCCCTGCGTTCGTCCATGCACCCGTCCCTGCGTCCGTCCATGCGTCCATCCGTCGGTGCAGCCATCTCTGAGTCCATCCATGCATCTGTCTGTGTGTCCGTTCGTCCATCTCTTCAACACTCAAAGTACCACCATCTCGCATCTTTTCATCATATATTCCGCATATGCACCACAATCCAGCGGACATTCCAAGGACTAAACGAGAGGTGGCACACGCACACTTTCACACGGCTTGCGCTTCGGGTCTACTTCCCACCTTTAACCACCTCGAGTTCATGGTATATACTAGTTCACTGTATTCGCGGTACTGCGGCCGAACGCTCGCTAAACCTTTCGAAAACCAAGGAGGTTACGCCCAGCGAGTATGACGTAGCAAACTTTCAGGGGCGAAGCTCCTTATGGCTTCGCTTAGGCGTCCCTCGTAGTACGTAACCACCAGTGGCACATACCCGAAATAGGTATAACATTTGACCTCCAAGGTGGTGCCGCTGAGAGATTTCTTTTGTGCGTTGTTTGACAATAAAAAATATTGCTCAATATACATGCCAATGGCTGCTAATTGGGAATGAGAGACAGGAGCATTCGGCTTTAATCAACGCGCACGCTGCGCGTTTGACAGATCTAGCATCGCAGGCAGGCGTGGTTGATCGGTCAGCGCAATTTCTCCTCATGGCCTGCAAGCTCGTGATTGTGTCAAGGTGCTGGAACTTGGGTGAATGAACTCGCGTTTGTTGGCGACCTGCCACAACTGTCTTTTTTGCAGCTTGTGGGAGAGGGTTTGCAGCTTGTGGTAGAGCTTGTGGTAGAGCTTGTGGGAGAGCGTATTCGAGGGTTCCGCCAGTGGAATACGTCGCATCTCCACAAACGACGAGCAATGTCTGAAAAGCATTCCTTAACGTGCGGGATTAGCTTGTCACGTTATTATGCGCGAACTATTTTTAGCAATCCAAGGACAATCTAAGTGCTTCTATCTATCTATCTATCTATCTATCTATCTATCTATCTATCTATCTATCTATATATCTGTCTATCTATCTATTTATCTATCTATCTATCTATCTATTTATCTATCTATCTATCTATCTATCTATCTAATGATATCTTCCTCACTATCATGCAGGTCTGAATCAGCATGGGAAGGTCAGATTCCTAGATGAATATGTTGGGCTCGTCATGAAGAAAAGTCCTATTGATATTGGTGGTCTATCACTAGATGCTGTTTTTACGGCAATGATGTGCGTTAAGCGGCAGTTTACCCTAGTTTGGTGTGTGATTGAAGGTATATTTCACGTTATTACGCTTGTAAATTGCTAATAGTGAACACTGCTAGCACTGTTGACGTGACCACCGTATGACATCACGACGTAATGTTTCTCGCAAGCAGTTTGGAGTGCAAATATAGCTATAGGAACCAGTACTTGTCTGCCACGCTGAACGCCAGGTTTTTATTCTGGCTGTAATCTTGGTTTGCAATCTTTCTTCACGTAATCATTGTGTCACTTAAAACACTACCAGCGCATGCTCAACACTTTCTGCACTGAAGCTCCATAAAATGATCAAACACAGAATCTTGAGTAGAGGATTGTAGATGTTTGTTTCACATAAAGAGATAACAAATATCGATGGCTCCCATCCTCATCCTATGGGCCGTGCTAAAGAGGTATGTCCACACATCACATAGAAAACGTGTTTGTCATGTAATCAGACACGTATCACATTATTTTCAATCAATGAACTGTTCATTGTGTCCACCACTAATACATAGAAATCTTAGCCTCGGTAAAATAAAGTAGACGACCAAGAGAACGACTAGAGGTAGGTGGTTAGTTACGTTCTCAGAAAGGTAGTTAGAAGCATTGAAAACACATTTGGCTTAATAAGCAATTGTTCGCAAACAACAGCGTCAAAATGTTATTCAAGAATAGGTGAAAGCCCTTTCTTCCAGATGTGTGTGTTGGACACATACTTCTATACCAAGGGGGGGGGGACTCACAGTTATGCGCCGAAGACAAATGGTAGTTCTAGCACAAAGAATGAGAACGGGCATTGTTAATTGAAATACTAGAGCATGAAGAAAGCCCGACGTTGGCAACCTATGCCCGAGGAATGAGAAGAAAAGATGAATTGTGTCCTTGTCACTTGGTGCTGTCGTTGTACCGGACGGAGAGGGGGCGCCCATGACTGAATTTCGAAGGCGTCCTCCACCGCTGATATACTCACCGCCCTTATTCGAGAGAGAGCAATTCGGGAAGGAGGCCAGCAAAGACGCCCTTGACAGAATTCCGAACTCGTGCTCCACTGCCTATAGACGGTTTCAAGATCGCAAGCCTAGTACCTCAAAAAACTTCCGGAACCTCATTTACCAGCTCTTAATTTCGAAACTGAAGACACGGTGTAAAACTTTTCTCAAAAGTAAGAAAAACCTCGCTCTGGTTTTTCTGATATAATGAACGGGCGTTAGGTTCAGGGGAACCTTTCTTAATTTTGTAGTAGCTCAAAACAACATTTATGCAATTATATTTTGCTAAATAGAGAAAGAAAAAATTAAAACATCAGCGGGCTAATTCCCAGAGCATTTCGTGCCCACCGTGCCTATTAAAGCACATTGGTGAATGAAACCGGATGTCAACAAGTGTGCGTGTTTGTAAACAGTGAAAGGGTCTATATACACACCACCTGCACGAGACGAAACGAGCATGCGCAGAGGGAGTGTGTACGGTGCCGTGACCGAAGTGTGACATGGTGCGACTAAGAAATGCTCCGATATAAAAAAATCTTCAACATAGTAGCGACCGCACCAAAGCATTTCGATGTAGTTTTCTATGGCACATGTACGCGAGCATACTTTGTCTACGCTTGCATATTTAAAAGCAAACATGGCTTCGAAAATGTTTATTGTGGCTGCAGAACTGAGTAGTTCTTGACAGGCTATTGAGATTGTAGCATCAAGTCACTTTAGTTCGAGCATTTTTGATAAATTAAACTAAAGGCAGCCATTTCGCACTGCGTGTTACATTATTTTATTACCCCTTCCTCAACCTCATCTCGAAGTCGTCCCTCGTCACTTGTACCATACATGTCGGGGAACCTCTATTCTAAGGGATACCTATATGCTGTGAACAGGAATATACTGTCCTATAAGATAATGAAGCTAAACTTCCATTGTATATCTCATTCGGGGTCATAAACATACTGCGCAGCTTTATATAGGTCTCTCACGCGAGAAGGCTCAGCATTTCATTGGTCTTTACCGGTTCAGTAGATTAGATTTCAGCGTCACATACAGTTCGACACAACTTTTCGCCTCTCTATTGTAATCAAGCCATACTGACGACTGTGAAATCGCGACAGAACAGATGCTAAGTATTCAACAATATACTCACAAGCATGTCCCTACGCGCGATTCATGCAAACTTATGTTTATGAAGCGATATGTCAGAATGAGGATAACATCCTTGATGATGGTTGTAACCATTCAGTGAGAGAGTCAATGTTCTACTAAATTAAATAACACAGGCTCAATTTTATTAACTTATGACTCACGCACTGATATATCAGTAGCTTCCGTGATAATTACTGCGTCATGCTCAGTAAAATTGTGCATGTTATATATTAGTGCATTGTGCTGTACAAGTAGTTCAAATTGTATTAAAGGTTGTCACAAAAATAGAAATTGGGTTCCTTGCAGCTGGTATTCACGGTCAAAATAGTATTATAAATGGCATCTTTTTTTTGTCGTTTTAGATGCCCAGGCTGTTACCAACTACACGTTTCGTCATGTGATTAAGGACTGCGCAATTGTTTTTAAGGAAAAAGAAAAGAACAAAACAGGTAATGCTTTTAAGGCCAGTAATATGCAATGCTTAGGATGTTGCACGTAAAATCTTTAAAAAAGTCAACAAAATCATGCCAAAGCATTTTGTAGTGGTATAGAACTTCCACAGCAAACAGTTGCTATAGACACGCAGACACCCAACACTATGTCCATATGTGTGATGCAGCCGTGCATGTTTGTGTATTTAGTGATGCTGTTAACCGTAGAAGGGTCATTACTACATTCTATAAGTAACAAAATACGGTCCAATAGGAAACGTTGTCTTAAAACAAACACGAACATGAATTCAAAAGCTCTGCTTGCTTTTCATAGTGCGAGAGAGAGAAAGAATATAAGAAACGTAGGGCTGTAGAATAGACTAAGTTCAGTTCACTACAATATACAAAGAAGACCAAAGGGAGGACAAAAAACGAACAGCTGAAATATACTTTCCGAAACCACAACGTGGCGTTAATAGCTAGCACTAAAAACGTCGAATAATCCATTAGGCAAGAATATGTATCAGTCGAAAAACAAATGGAAGCACTTCAGTAGAGACAGGAAGCGTCTTTCTGTTTCATATCTGTGTGCATTGTGTGCCTCTGAAGTTTTTTTTCTTTGGTGTCCATCTCCTCAATGACTGGAAGGACCGTGAGACAGTAGAGAAGCTGAGCCTTCCCATCACTACAGAGTTAAAGCCAGGAGTTGGTTGTATAAGCCTTCTTCTTTTCTCTTCGAACATTATAAATATATTTTCTCTTCGACTCTCTCTCTCAGCCTCCCCCACAAAAAAACAAAAAACAAAAAGGCAGATCTCGTGTACAGTGAGAATCGATGCCACGCGAAGCACGAATGAGGAAGGTGGATATGTCACTAACATCCGCACATCGTTACGAGGTGGTGGTAAAGTCTGCGATACATGACTTCCATGTCATGATTATCATGTTTTGACGTGTCATATACCTTCGTTGACTATTGACGTCACGTGATACGAAACTTGGGTATATGTGGAGCTAGCGAAGCGCCCGCGGGCATGCTATGAGTGAAGTATGTAGTGATGTTTTACATGAAACGCATGTCATCATTATGATGTTTGGACGTGTCATTGACCTTCGTCGTTTGTTTGCCTCATGCAATACTAAATTTAGTATTTGTGAGGCTAGCGATCGACAAGGCCACGAGCGCATCATTATATAGCGTTGCGTGTTATCATGCTTTAGGGCCGAAGCTCTTCATGGCGTCGCTTGTGCGTCATAAAAGAGGACTCAAAGGGTGCATCAACGGGTAGGGGTATTAGCGACGGAAAAACTTCCTTGCGCTTCCCCGGTAAAAAACATGCCGCTTAGCGCGACGTGATCTTGTGCCATGGACTACTTTTCAGGCAGCTCTCAAAGCCATGGAAGTTGCTCCAGCTTGTTCGTGAGCAAGGCAATTCTACGGGTTTTTTATGTGTCTGTACTGGAGGTGAGACAAGCACGACAGGAGCCAATACCTGCATGTTTACTTGCGATGGTGAATCTGGGACCACTCTTCGAACTACTCTAGAACCTTAGTGACGTAATAGTGTCTGCTAAGGACACAGACAGGGAGACAAGCAACGGGGAGCAGCACATACTTCCGACGTTTTTTGTAGTGTAGTCAGATAAGCTCTCTGTTGGGGGCTTGGGGGCACCGATGGCACACCTAGAGCTGTGCCAACAAAACCTTGATAGGTAATTAGGGGCAGATTCGTGGTCACCCGAGCTGCACCACCAAAGTTGTGGCTCTAGCATCTATGATGCGTGGCAGATGCTTGGTCGTCAAGAAGGAAGTCTCAAGTTTCCTTAAGTGCGCGAAAACACTTGTCTGTCTTGCACATGATTCTATTCCACGATCGGAAGGCAGTCGCTGGCCACTAGCCATTCTTGAATCTTGAGACAGCTATGGAGGGTGGCCAGGAGTTGATGGTCCCAATTCACCTAAACGTGTCGTCCCACAAGCCGCAGAACAAAAGTACTGCCCAAACCGGCAACTACAATAAAGTGATAGGCAAGAGCCTGGAGTTGCACAAGTGGTTGTGATGACAAAGTAGCGCGGCGAGGACATGAAGGAACTCCCAGACATTGTCAAATAAGGCGCCCGGTGCACCGTGGTAGTACGCGGTGGTGCTGGTGCTCACGGCAGCAGGATTCAATGCTATAAACGCGTGCACGGCGTCCCTTGTCGTGAACTAGCACCTGTGCAGTGGTGTGGAGCCACCGATGAGGCCTAGATGCTGTCCCCCAACAGATATGGCAGTTGCGGCAGGTGAATAGGTGCCAGGGGGGGGGGGGGGGGGGGGGCTGGACGCCGTCGTAACGCTAGGATTACTGCCACTGTTCGTTAGCGGGTGCCATGCACGAAGAAACAGAGACGTAATTCTTCGTTTTCGTCAAATTCACAATTGTATTAAAGCAAGCAGGCTGGTGTGGCTGTTCTTTATCTTGCAGTCATGTCCTTGCTAAAGTGCCAGGCGAGTGCACGGCTGTGTTTACATGTGTTACGCTAGAGCGTAAGCCTTCGCGCGTGCGGCGTGCTTGTGTGTTTTTGTAGGGCGGGACGTCTTTATCCGTCCCACCCTCGTTATCGCATCACTGAAGAGCACCTAGCGCTACACTTTTGGAACAAGAGAACGTCAATTTAGATGCGCTGGGTAGGTAAACTTGCTCGCTACGTTTACAGCGCGTGCGCAGCTCTTGCCTGTATTTATCCGCCGGTGCACATCGCCAGCGAGTGGCAGCGTAGTCAGTGTTCTAAGTTATTCTGAGTGCGCCCCAGTGTTATCGGTGCACAAAGCGTCGGTCATTGATAAACTCATGCGCGGTAAGGCGCAATGAACTTCGGACACGTGACAATGAATGATACAGGAATATCGCTCGAGGCCATGTTCGTTCGAGAATAAGGTTGGCCAATTTCGTTTGCGTGCTCGAGCATAACAAATGGTTTCTAAATATTTTGAGTGCTCCCAGATGCGCGGACTGCGCGAGAGTGTAGGTACACTCTCAATATTTATGAAGGGAAACACCCTATGTTGCAGTCGGCAATGTTACACCGCTCTAAAAACTGGTATTATAAAGCATATGCGGCTTTTGTGCATGCATATCTATACATTTCTTATGTCTGTGTGATTGAACAAATCTTTATCATTTCACTGGAGAAAAAATTGCAATCATAGGCACCTTATTTCTTCGTGCCCAAAACAACTTGGTTTTCAATAGTTCGTGGACCTTGTCGATTTTTTACTCTCACCAATGACGCAACCAATGGCTTCAATTGAATTTTTGTACCTCGAGCAGCTTGGCAGAGTAATATTCGTACCTTATTTTGCGTGCTTCAAATCCTGACATTTTCCTCTCAGCCTACATGGCGCGTTGTTCTCCAAGATGTTATATTGCTTGATAAATACTTTGATTTGTTGTGTTGAACTTTCTAAATCTGCTAGGTATGTATTGATTTTTTCTCTTACAGGTGTAGTTTCAAGCTGGGAGCTATGGGTAAACAATCGCTTCAACACCAGCTCTGAAGCTTGTAAGAAACAATACCTCAAGGTGTGCGAATGCGACCAACCCATGCAATTCAACATGAGTGACTGCAAAAGACAACCTCACAATCAGGAATCTCTTTGATGACAATAAATCTCTAAAAAAGGTATTGAACATAAGAAAAATGAGAAAGTGAGGAGTGAATGATGGAGAGTGGGGCGAAGCATCCGTCTGTCTATTCGTTATTGCTTCCGTCGTCCATGCGTCCGTCTGTTTGTCCGTCCGTGCGTCCATTCGCCCGTCCGTGCGTCAATTCGCCCGTCCGTGCATGCGTCCCTTCGTGCGTCCACACGTCCATCTGTGCGTCCGTCCCTGCGTTCGTCCATGCATCCGCCCCTGCGTCCATCCATGCGTCAATCCGTCGGTGCAGCCATCCATGAGTCTTTCCATGCATCTATCTGTGTGTCCGTTTGTCCATCTATTCAACACTCCAAGTACCACCATCTCGCATCTTTTCACCATATGGATGGATGGATTGATATGGCTGTACCCTTAAGATCGGGCTGTAGCTAACGCCACCAAGCCGTAATTCTTAGTGAAGCCAAAAAGAGAATAATTTTTTTTCCTTTATATAGTGAGGTTGAGGACTCGTACTTTGCCGTGAAGAGTTTAATTTTCACTCGTGCCTTGACTTTAGCCACCAATCACATAACCTCCTTCTAGTTGATTCTACCCGCTTAAAGTCCATTTTGCCATCCCTGTCTCTATATGGCTTGGTTCGCAATACACCCGTCCTGGCATCAAACAGTAAAGAACTACCCCGAGTATTATCATAGATCCTTTCCTTGGCAATTTCCTGCTTAAAAGTTTGATAGATCTCTAGTGCGGGCATCTTAATCATGCCGATTTTCCACATATCAGTCTCAGCTTCCTTCACCTTGTTCTTAACCGATAATTCTTCTTGGTTTGTTTTCCTGCTGTTTTCTAAGTCTTTACCAGTCGATTCTCTGGTTCGCTTCGTCCATTTTGTATCGAAATTCATCATGTACAAGTAGCTGAATACCTTGCTAGCCCAACGCTTCTCCCCCGTTTCTCTCCATCGCTTCTCATATTTTATCTTGCTGCTAGCTTTTCTGCCCTCAAATGATGTCCATCCCATATAACATTGTACTCCCTGATTTGGTGTATTCCCGTGAGCTTCTAAGGCAAGCCTACCTATTCTACGTTGCTAAATTTGTAATCTTGCTTGAACTTGTGATCTCATACACAAGACCGCATTGCCGAACGTCAGACCAGGAACTATGACCGATTTTCATATTCCTTTCACAACGTCATACCTATTATATATCCACAGTGCCCTGTTTTCGTCACCGCTGCATTCCTGTTACCTTCAGTCGTCACGTATATTTCGTGTTCCCTTAGGTACTCGGCCCTATTGCTTATCCATACGCCCAGATATTTGTATTTATCTGTTATCTCTAGTGTGACGTTCTGTATTCTAAACTCACTACCACCATTATTATTAAAAATAAAGACTGCTGCTTTTTTCTTACTGAATCTGAAATCTAACCTATCTCCCTCATTTCCACAGATGTCCATCAATCTCTGCAAATCTTCCTGGTTCTCGGCTATTAGCACTATATGATCTGCGTACATCAATGCTCGTAGTGCCTGTTCAATGAGTCTTCCTTGTTTGACGAAAGAGAGGTTGAAGCCCAGTCCACTTCCCTCTAATTTTGCCTGTGATCCTTGTAGGTACATCATGAATAACAAGGGTGACAGAGGACACCCCTGCCTAAGCCCCCGTTTTACTTCTGTAGGCTTCGATACCTGTTTTTTCTACTTTATAAATGCCTTGTTACTTTTATAGATATCGTTTAAAAGATTAGTGACTCTACCTTCCACACCTAGTGGGTGCAGTATTCCCCACAAGTCCTCTTGAACCACGCTATCGTATGCTCCCTTGATATCCAAAAATACTAGCCACATGGGCCTGTGCTCGTTTTCTGCTATTTCGATGCACGGCGTGGGTGAGAACAGATTGTCTTCCAACCTCCTGTGTTTCCGGAACCCATTCTGCAGTTCCCCCACCAACCTCTCATCCTCTATCCATGCCTGCAGTCTTTCCTTTATAATCTGATTCGCCAGAATGTAGACCACTGATGTCACTGTTATAGGACGGTAGTTGTTCATGTCAGCTTTGTCCCCCTTTGCTTTATAGATCATGCTCATCCTGCTAAGTTTCCATTCGTCGGGGACTTCACCATCGTTTATTATCTTGCCCACTGCCTCTCACAAAGCCTGCTTAGACTTCGAATCTGTCTTTATCACCATAATTGGAATGCCATCTGGGCCTGTTGATTTACTACTAGGAACGCTCTTCTCAGTCGTTTCCCACTCTAGTTGGGAAAATGGAGCCATTGCGCTACTTGATTCATTCTTGTATATTGTAGTGAATAAAGTATTTCTTTGTTGAAATTTTTTGTCACCCTTGTTCTAGTATATTCAACACCTTCATACCCTTCTAGCCTAGCACCTTGAGAATCAGTTATAAACCTCTGCTTAAGGCCCGTCTCACTTCTTAGGGAGTTTAGATGATTCCAAAATTTCGCAGCTGCCTTTATATCTTTTTCATGTACTTCTGCCAGCCACTGAGCTCCCTTTCTTCTAACCTTTTGATTGAACAGAAGGGATGCATCCCTTCTACAGCTTAGAAAGATTTCCCATTTTCTTGCAACGTCATCTGTCGGTTCACCCCGCTACTTTGCGTGTCTTTGTTTCCTAGAGGCTTCCTGACTTTTGGTTTTGGCTCTCTTAACTTCTTCACCCCACCAACTCTTCGATTTGTGTCTTCTTTTCCGGGGTGACTTGTCACGTGCCTTAGCAAGCTCTAGATCAAACGGTCTAATTATATTCGTGTATGTCCACACTGTTTTAATATACTCAGTGATTACTTTCTCCATTTGTTTAGTAGCTATTTCCATTTGCCTTTATGAATCAACATTTTCCTGTAGCTGCTCATCTTGTCTCTTTCCCCTTTCACTGCTCTTCCAAAACTTAGCTTGATACGTCTGGGATCAATACCCAGACTTCTGGAGCCACTTTCATCTATGTGCATTCCCCTGAGCTTATCCTACATACTATGTGACATCAGTGCGTAATCTATCGTCGACTGCAGCCTTCCTCCCTCCCATGTTGTTTGCCCTTCACACTTCTCGGTACTGTTGCAAATGATAAAACCGTGTCTTTCAGACATATCCGTGATGATTTTGCCTGTTGTGTCGGTATACTCATTTATATCTTCTATGTGCGCATTCCTAACTCCTAGTATAATTATCTCGAATTCAACTCCAAGCTACTCAATGTCTTTTTGTATACACTCTACCATTGCCTCAGTTTCCTCTCCGGCCTTTGCTCCCGTCCACAATGACACCAAACTAAGGAGTGTCATTTGCCTGCCATCTTCCCTTTTAGCCTAAAATGTTCCTTGCCCTCCTGCTTGACCCTTTGCCAGTCTGTACTTTTATGAATGAATACCCCTCTTTGTGCTGCCTTCTGTTCTATTACAATATTCCCACGCGTAGTTCATATTGTTAGGCGGTTGTTCCATGTTTCTAAGAAGTGTTTCTAAAAAACCGTAAACCATCGGCCTCTCCACTCGTAGCTCTTTTTATATCTCTTCCCACTTCAGCCTGTTCCTGCCACTCTGCCTGTTAATATATCTTATCTCCTAATGGGCTCGGCGCTCGTGGCTACGTCTATTTCTGCCATGAACGCTACCTATCTTAGGTACTGGTGCCACTTTGGCATCGTATCTGTCCATACCACCTGTCAAAGAGTGTCCCTTGTTGTTTTCCTCGTTACTAGCTATCCTGCACCCTGAGGGGCCCGCGTGCCCCTCCAAATCAGCTACAGCGCGTTCTGCAAGTCGCCAACCCACCTCATGACCTACCCGCCCATCGAAGTTAATTCTGTCTCGTTGAAAACTACCCAACCTATGCACCTCTCTATTTATTTCTACCACCTCAAAGCCTTTCTCACGACTCATCCTCCATATCTCTTAGATTGCGTTGACAACTGCTGTTTGCAGGTTGCCGTCACTCAACGGTACCTCCGGTATAGAGCAAGAAGAAGAACTCGCTTGCGCGTTCTAATTAAAAAGGTCGACCTGCTTCTGGTGTCTCAGTCTCTACGGCAAGACCTCTGTTTTGACGTCGTGACGCTGGTGGACGTGCTGGGTACAACCGGATGCAGGACAGTCTTGCTCGGACCCGTTCATCTAGTCCAGAAACCCAGCCCCTCGTCACGACTCCGGTGCACCGATTCAGTCGGCGCCTACTAGGCCTAAGTCCGGAGTCCGTACCTGTTCTGCCTCTAACCAGCATGGCAGCTCCTACCACATCCACGGCTACCCTTCCATCGCAGACCACACTTCCCTCCCAGGTGACTCTTGAACATCCTCGCGTTCCTGAAGTTTTTCATGGAGAAGAGTACGATGATGTCGAGGACTGGCTCGAACAGTTTGAACGGGTCGCTGTATCTAACCACTGGAACGAACAGCACAAACTTGGCCGTGCATATTTCGCCCTGGAAGATAGCGCTTGCACGTGGTACGAGAACCACGAGGCTACTTTCCAATCTTGGGAAGATTTCCGCCGAAAGCCCCTCGCCACGTTTTTGAACACGGACCGACGGGATCGCGCACAGCAACTGATTGAGGCTCGTGCACAAAAACCCAACGAAACAGCCGCCATGTACGCAGAGGGTATGATCCGTCTGTTTCGACGAGCTGACCCTGACATGCCCGAGGCGAAGAAGGTGCGTCACCTAATGCAGGGTGTCAAAGAACCAGTGTTTGCGGGCCTCGTACGAAATCCACCTACAACAGTAGATGAATTCATAAGAAAGGCGACTGTCATCGAGCGCGCACTGCGACAACGGTACCGACACTTTGACCGCCTGCCGAACCACACGGCAGTAAGTGCTGCAGCTCAGAACACTGCCGTGTGTGAAAGTTCCCTGCGACAAATGATTAGGGAAATACTGCGTGAGGAACTTCGGGCCCTCTGCGTCCCTCCTACCCAACCGCCCGTCGCATCTGTTGCCGAAATCGTCCGCCAGGAGTTGAGGCAAGCCGTTACACCACCGGCGCCAAGTCCTGAGCCACATCCAGCGAGCTACGCTGATG